CTGTCCTAAGTGTGATTAGTCCATGGCACGCCTTTACGCACGCCTCCAAGCGAGACGCGCGTTTGTCGGTTTCCCTGTCATTTTTCTGAACTTTTCTTACTCAGTGTTCAGTTATCCAGGTTATCAGAGCCTGTGCCGCCCCGGTGTCTCCTCCTGAGTCTAGAACACAGCCACAGAACAAGGTCTCCAATGCCCCGCAGGACTGGAGGCTGTGCGTAAAAGCAGCGTGCCGCTCCGCCTGTCTGTCTGTCAGAGACTGTGTGAAACCGGAGTGCGGTGGCCGTTGTACCAAGTGCTGCGATCTTTTTTTTTTTTTGCTCCCCATCCAAATAGCTCAGATGTCTTTTTGTTCCCGCGCTGGAGGAGGAGAAGAAGAAGGAGGAGGAGGAGGAGGAGGAGGAGGAGGAGGAAGGGGATAGAAGTGACACAGGATGACCATGGATGGTTTTCAGTAAAAGTGTTGCAGTGAAGGAATCTGCCAAGTGACTACACAGACAAACAAATGTCTCAAGTACCGTTATAATTCACTCACTGGGAACACACACACACACACACACACAGACAATAATACCTCAAGGTGATTTTTTTTCCCATGTTACTGAGGAAACCCCAGCAGTTCAAACCACCCACTTAGGAATAAGTAATGAACATAATCCCCAATTATCAAGTGTTTTAGAATGTGGTAAAAAAAGTCAAGCACACACTCTAGAGAGAGAGGCTACCTGTTAAACTGGAATGTAAACAGGCGACCTGTTCCTGTAAGGCCAGAGAGCTAACCACTACAACAACGCGTGGTATTTATCTCATAAACACAGTCTGGAGGAAAGTGTTGTGATGTCTGATTATTGATGTACGAGATGAGAATACACAGAATTAGGGTTGCAGCGGTGGACAGCAGTCAGACATATTCATATTAGGCCTTTGTTACAGAGTGAAGCCAAAAATAGAAAACTGCTTTAAAATGGTGAATTAATCAGCCAGGATCGTTAGTTAACTGTTTACTGAGGTTATTGATCAACGTGACGTGGTTTCTATCAAGTTTTTTTTTATTTTTATCAATATAAATTTTTTATCAATTACTAGACATGCGACCCCATTTGAATTTCAGGCGACCGCACTTGGGGTCCCAACCCCAAGGTTGAAAAACGTGACCCCATTTGAATTTGAATTACAAAGCAACTAAAATATGATGTCATTTCCTTAGACTTACTGCAGGCTAACACACTGGCAGCTAACTTCAATGACATCTACAGAGTTTGTTACTCTCTTAAAAACATGTTAGTATGCTAATGTTTACCCACAGCTCTCCAGTGCAGCTCAGACTGATGGGAATCCGATTTTGAATAATTGAATTTTCCAATGATTCATGAGTAAACAAAGGTTTGGCCCATGATTCAGCTGGGGAAGAAAGGGTTAGCATTACTTTAATTAGTTCCATTATTATTTGCCCAAATTTTTGCCTCTTTATAAATTATAACACTATCATTTTTTAGCCTAACATTTTTTTTTTGTCTTTTCTTGGCTAGTTTTCCTGTGTCTGAACGACCTTTCGCTCTTTAGACCACAGTTTAGCTAACACCTACCTGCGATTGTTCTCTCTGTCATCTTTAAAAAATAACCTCACAACACAACTGCACGTGACGTTCCTGCCGTGAGGCCAATATTCTTACCACTGCCCCAGCGAGCAGCCTCCATGATGCTGTGTGCAACAACATAAACAATGACTTCACGTTGGTGCTGTGGCCCGATGACCTGTTGGTATCTGGGCTGGTTCCCAGTAGGCTACTTGGTTAATTCTTCTGTACACAAATACGATGACTAAACGAGCGCTCCTTCATTCTGTACACAGGACACACACACACACACACACGCTTGTGCATGCTTGGCACTCAGACCTGGTGTTTGTTCAACCGGTCCATCTGTGGACGCCCGAGTCCCCACTCCTGAAGGGTGTCCCCTGTTGAACCACAAACCACAAACTTTCAGTTTTCAGTTTTGGCTACCAGCTTATTTACGACATACATCTTACAGGTTAGTCCTGTTCAGTCTTACCAGCCCAATCCACCCACCCACTCTGCAACACACGGAAAGGCCCTCCAGCTGGGGCACTCCCTGCAGGGCAAACACTGGGGCCTGACGAGCACAAAGGCTGGGTAAACAGCTCCTTAGTTTTCCTCTCCGGGCTCACTCTCGGTGCCGGGGCGCCAGGTCATACAGGGAGGATCCTGCTCTTTGCCACGGAACTATTTATAGTAGCAACCCACGGGCAACAATGCAGACAGCTGAGGAGCATGACACGCAGGAATGTAGTGTCAGATAAAAAGGATGAGTTCAATAACAGCAGCAGAAAAGAGAGGATCATAAAAACTCAAAAGCCAGGTCATAAAAATCTACCGTAATATCACACACACACACGCAGTCATCCATTCAACTCCATCTGCTGCCAAACCCTAACTGTGAGATAATAATCTGTGTCTTCAATAAAATATGTCACTGTCTGGAAGTGGAAATCAAGAGCAGAGTTTCAGCAGAGGGCACCACAAATCTGAGAAGCGTGTCTCCATCACCATCCATCACAGCGCGCTCTGGTGATTAACTTGTTCAGCTTTGTGAGAGGGATTTGCACCCTGACACTTGTGTTTGTTCTTTGAGAGCCACAGTTAAACCCCATACAAGCACATCACACACACACACACGGTCACACACACACACACACACGGACGGAGGTTGAGTCTTTGGTAAGAGGCCTGGGTATTGACTGAGGAATGATGGGCTGCTGGTTAAATGCATGTTCCTACAGTACAGCATGTGGTCACTACTACACACTGTTGAATTATATTCATTTTATATGAATTGCTCAGGATCTACCAGCACGACTGCATCACTGGGCAAAACATAAATCCTCACATCCTATGAATACTAAAATACTAAAATTATTATTGTTATTATATGTGGAAACGAATGTACACAGAAGAAGTTTTTGGTTTTGTATTCGGAGTCTAACACTACAACCAGACAATAGAGGAGTGTCTGCTCCAGATGTTGAGGACAGTTAACAGGAGTTTTTTTCCCCTCCAAAGTTTCTCCAGTTTCAAAGGTCACCAACATCACCACAAGTTCTTTCTGTGTGCTCACAAAATCCAAAGGTGACTTTTCCTTTTTGGGCCCCTTCCAGCTTTTAAGTCTGTTTTTACTTTTTTTTTTTTTTTTTTCAAGCGGGAACTCCCCGATGCAGAACACTGACCACGGCCCCCTCACAAAACGTGTGAGACCTAGTGGAACTGAAGCTGAAGAGGGAGAAGAAGTCCACAACAATATCTTTCCATATTAGCTCAACAAGTGAATCTAGAAACAAATGATTCTCCAGTCATTTACAATCAATCAGAACTGCATTCCTACAGCGTCTTCAAGGTTTGCTCTATCACTGCCCGCATAAACAAATCCTGAGGAAAAGTGTCAGCATATGGCTTGATTAGAGGCCTTGTTATATGGATGGATGAGAGCGGGATACACAGCACGGAGGCCACGGAAGTGAGCAGTCTTTAAAAAAAAAAAAAAAAAAAACCTAAGCAGAATAATGGAAAAAATTACGAAACTGGTTAAACTGTGCAGCAGATGACCAATCGATGATCAATTAATGTCAGTGTGTTTCAGTTGAGGCCAGATTTAATAATAATAATATTATGATATGTATCTATATAATTATATAATTATATAATTTCACTAGAGTGTAGTGGTTTCTTTACAGAGGCTGCCATCTTGAATCACCAGGACTGTATACATTTATGAAGCCAGGTAGCAGGTTTTCACTACTTCTGTTTAGCATGCAGGCTAATATCTGCACATTAAGTTATGCAAATAAAAAAATATTAAAACAATATTATAAATAATAGCATTATTAAAAGGGCTATTTTGTATATATATATATATATATAGTTATATATATAATGTTTTAAACAGATGTAGAAAAATACATTAATACATTCATTTCTAGAATTTTCCTGTACTTCCCAGTGTTTTAAACAGATGTAGAAAAATAACCTGATGATTTCTAGAATTTTCCTGTACTTCCCAGAAGTGACATTTTAATTATGAATTTAATGACATTGGTCTAGCTACCTTATTGTTTTTGCAACATTAAGCTAAACTGTGCTGATCTTAAATCAGCTCTTATTTGTCTTTTTTCCAGTCTATATTTTTTCTTTTCGTTGGCCTAATTACCGATCTATTTGCCAACACTCAGTCGTAGCCAGGATGGAGCTGTCTATTGTTAAACACATTGTTTTGACGTTGCCCAGACAACAGTCTCCAAATTAAATTAATGAGTCTGGTCAAAGAGCTAGGAATTCTTAGCAGCAGCTTCCAATCGCCAGATAAAGAACAGAAATTCCTGTGTGTTTGATTCCAATAAAAAGTTCTTGATGTTTATCTTCTTTGATGCATTTGTGTGTAGTGCTATTTACACACAGTGAATGTTCTTCAACTATAATATTTAGTTGTGTAATCAAGAGAAACTAAAATCTTTTACCCTGGCTCAAAGTATGGAAGAAAACTGCATGAACCACCAGGCGTCCACCACCAACGTCCTGCTCCGACTTCATTATAAGGTCTGCAATGCTAAATCAGTGATTTGGTTTTTTTGACGTACAGACCAGATCCCATTTGGGGTGGACATGTTCAAACCTACAGATGTTTCTGATTTGGTTTTTGCATCTGGGTACTTTTAGTGTTTTCGTTTCCATCGCAGCAGAACACAGAAACAACCAGAAACATCAAACACAGCGACTCGCCGTATCGTTCGTGTAATTATGAAACTGTCTGTCTATTTATATTGACTAATGATCCGGAAATGATCGCTGCACACTGGGAGCTCTGAGCTGGACAGGAGGAGACCAAGCCGCGGCAACACAGGTACCTGACAGCTCCGTGGGTGTGTCTCCGCCGCAGACAAAGGCAGAGTGATGAAACGTGGGACACCGTGGAGAGAGGGAACGTTGCGTTCCCTGATCTCAGCTGACCCAACATTAAGTAAACACAGAACAAATGGGTGTCTGAAAGGGTGTTTTCTCTCCCCGGTCTAACCCTTTTTTTACGAGGAGTTTCAATTTCAGGCCCGCAGGTCGTGGCCTCTCCGTTCCAGCCCAACAGAGAGGAGGTGGGGCAGGGAACCTGTCGCCAAGAATAAAAGGCCGGCTTGCTGAAGAGGTACAGGCATGCTCACACTCCTGTCTGCAGGACCGGCAGAAACCACGGCCTCCAGTCGGCCAGCTGCCTGAAGGGGGGAGATCCCTGGTGGCAAATTTCCTCCTGCTGTGGGGAAGGAGCATTCGATCCCACCCTGCGGAGGTCTGAGAATCTGTCCAGTCAGAGCAGCCAGAGCCCAGTGAGTTTAGTGAGCACTGAGGCATGTCTGCTGGGGCCAAGAAAGGAGGCTAGCTGAGCATTAACGGCAGGACGGCAAAGTTCTGGTCCTCACACCTGCAGCTGGAGCTGGAGCTGGAGCGCTCGCTTGCACTGTACCTCACACCTGCAGCTGGAGCTGGAGCGCTCGCTTGCACTTGTTCTCTCCTCTTACTCAGATTTTGCAGAGGGCCAGAGTGTTGGATTTGTTCATGTGTGGCTACAGCAGTGAAACAAGATCCACGTCAGAGTTGATCAGGTGAAGAGACAGCACAAGGATGAGGATGGACAGAAAAGGAGAGACACTCAGAGGGGGACAGCAACATAAACACAAAGGAGACAGGGAGAGTACATCAGTGAGAATGTACTGAACAAATGAGTTCCTCTGGCCCTGCAGGTAGAAGAGACAGAGCCGCAGAGGAAATCCCCTTTCTTCACCTCTCTGTTCTGTCCTCCTCCTTCTAGGACAGTGTTTATTTACCTTCAAGGCTAACTTCCTTTTTTATAAGCACATCCAATCGATTTATAGCTATAAAAAAGTCCAACAAACAGGCATGGAAGGAGAGTTTCCCCAGCAGTGAAGATTGTGTCCAAGAAAGTGTCCAATTCACATCAAGATAGAACAAAACGTGGAGTACACACATTAAAAATATTTACTATATAAAGTTATTCACAGTGTACAGAAATGTGTTTATACAAGACAAATACGAAGACTATAGAACTGACAGGAAGAAAAGAATAAACTGCAGAGTCAGAAGATCCAAACATGCAGAAGAGCAACACAAGCAAATATCATTCAAATTCTTTCCAGCGATATATAGTACTGTGCAAAAGTGTTTGGGTGTGTATACATTTACCAAATACCTCTTACATGAATGAGTTTGTGTAATTATGTCATCATCTTCCTCAATGTCACCACGATCATCACCAAGCATCAGGAACACACACCAAGTGTCACCTAGGACTTGAACCTGAAAGCTTCCGGACCCAAGTCCTCTTTCTTAACCACTAAGCCACCACTGCCCCGGGTGTTACTATTATTATTATTATTATTATGCAGCATGTCTATGAAGTGCAGCAATGGGGGCGGGGCATACGGCACTTCCACCCAGTCCACTTCCGAGATGTTTAAATAAAAACAAAAACAGAGTTGGCGCTCCTTCACTTTTTCTTCAACAACCTCAAAAAAAGCTGTAAAAAGCAGTGGGTGGTTGGGATTAAAGTCAACACACACACCACCTAACACAGTACGGCATATACGGTGTGTGTGTGTAAAGCTTTTAAATCAGTCTGAACTATGACTGAAATGGAACAAATGGAAAGGCAGAAGAAGATTCTTACCTAATACGTATCTCTTTATTATTAATATCCAGTTGTTAAGAGCTTTGATTTTGGGTTCAGTCCATTTGAACTCCTCCAGCATTCAGAAAAAACAATTCCAAAAACTCCAATCCTAAAGAATGTTTTTTTTTTTTAACAAAGAATCTGCTTGCTCCTAAAACATCAAAAACAAAAGAAGACACACAGGTGGTGCAGTGTGGGTGTATCTGTCCTCCAAGCAGCGTCTGGGTCCAGGATAAATATTCTAATCTGCAGCTCATCCTGAACACAGGTGCGTACTCTGTCGCTGCTACACTTCCCCGGTGATGAGGTGTAAGGCACTGATCGTACCTCATGTTCATGCGACGGCCAGCTGTTTCCTGAACAGAAACAGGAGCCAAACTGAGCCAAACTGAGCCGAAGTGGAACGATGAACGGAACGGTTCAGAAGGAGCGCCGTCCGACAGGATCCCAGCAGTGTTTATGGAGACTTCAAATCAGGTATAGGAAGACAGCGAGAGAGCTGATGCACAGTACTCTGATGCACAGTTACTATGTACTTTCAGAAGGAAAGGCGAGAGAGCAGCGAACAGACTTAACAGCAACAGTACTGGAAGCAAGTAAAAGTACTCTGATGTACAGTTACTATGTACTTTCAGAAGGAAAACAAGGACAAACAAAAAGACGGGGGTTAAACCAACTGAAACGCACCATTTTGATAAAGGTGTTTTTGATAAAGTCAAGACAGATTTCTCAAAAAACCCAAGGCGACCTGTATGATGGTGTAACACTTTTTTTCCACAAATCAAAGAACATATGTGAGGAAAAACACAAAGCGTTGACGTTACAAACTACAGCAGAAAGAGAAGAAAAGCCGAGGACTACAAATCTAACTCGGGGCGGAAAAGATGATTTTGCACAGAGCCTGTGTTTCATGTACTAATGAATACTGCTGGGCTACTGCTGAGCTACTACTGGATGTTCCAGCAGTCACATCTTCATTCTTTTACTGCAAGTTCAATTTAACAACATTTGCTTTGTAGTTTAATCAAGGCATTGATTCTTAATCATTGAGAATAATGATCAGAATTGTTATATGTGGGTGATGTGACTCCAAAACCAAACAAGCATTTAATTCTTCTTTGTCACAGTCTGGCTGGTGGCTCCATCCGTTACTTATATACAGTCTAAAGAAAAAGACTCAACAGTGTATGGATAAAAGGTTGACCCTGCTATATAGATATACAGAGAACTGTCATGAACCTCTAAACATACAAATAAAAACATCAAATCTGCTTCAAACAAAATGTAAATCAAGCCAGATTAAATCACCTGGGACCTTAAAGGTGCAGTCCGTGAGGAAGCACACGGTGGGAGAAGGAAAACTCTGTGTTTGTGAAAACTTCTGTGTTTTCTCTGAACAAAGAAAAGTGATGGATAGCAGGCCTGCCTGTGACCAAGACAACTGGAAACAAAATAAATTATTAAAATCAATCCAAAAGCAAAAATATATATATATATGTATATAACCATTTTCTACAATTCACTGAAGCACAAAAGTCTGCAGCAACAGGAGGTGGCAGGAGCTCTGACAGACAACAGCTCCTAGTCTCACAACACACACATGTGCTCCGACTGTGACGTCCAGCAGCAGAGAGGAGGAAGAATTTACCCACAAGACACAGAGGAGAGAAAAGGAGATGCTGGAAACAACTTCAGTCACTAGAACAACAGGTTATTCTTAGAAGCACCGTTTTAATGTCGTCAAAACTGAACTGAAGTCACAATTTTAAAACACATTTGAGGAGATCCAGGGAATGAATCTGGCACGGACGTTTGTCCAGCTGAACTGTCCAACTTGTTTTTGTAAGTCATTTGCCCCAAAGATTTTTACCAATACTATGCAACATCCAGGTCCTTGAACGTAGCCACAGTGTAATCTAATCTAGGTCATTGTACAGTACTTGTTTTTTCAAAAAGCCGAAGGTGGAATATTTTTTTAAATAATTATTTTTGTATTACCTTCCTATTAAGGTATTTCAGTTTTGTCCAATGAGACACGAGAAAAAACTGACTCGTGTTGCATTGCACTAGTAGTACTATTTTCCATAAACAGGCCAGATGAAAAGTCTAATAAATGATCATTGAAGTTTTATTTGGTAGCTGGGAGTTGATTCGCAAACAAGTAGGAAAACTTCCTCTGACAGAACTGTTTTGTCTGGGGCAGGTGTTGATTTGAAGGGTGTTGCTGCTGTTGAATCTCCATGACAAGAGGTATGAGTGTAGATGCACTAAACCAGGCGCAACCACCGATCTCTGCAAGAAAACAACCAAGCCAGTAATACAAAGAATCATCCAGAACCTCCAATAAATTAACACTTAAATGAAGCTCCACCTCCGTAGCTCTCTGCTCTCTCTGATCCATGTGAAGATGTGCAAAGAGAAAGGATGAGTGGATTGGTTCAGGGTGGGTGGTGTGATTGCTGCAGCGTTTTTCTTTTTAAAAACAAACCAAAAAAAAAAAACAACTGTAAAAATCTTTGATATTTACACTGAGGAAAGTGAATACATTCAGGCAGCTAAAAGAATAGGGGAGGAGGTTGACCCCTGCCCCCTGAACGAGGTACGATTGGCACTGCTAATACGAAGCCCATCCCCGCACAATCTCTGTGATCCTCTCTTCATTTCTCACTCTTCTGTTCCTTCGTGTTTGACAGGAGGCCGTGCCGTACTTCAGGGATATATGCGTGGCAGAAGTCAAACACGTCACTGGCTTCATCTCCTCCAACATTTGAGGGAACAAGCAGTAAACATTGAAAAGAGATGACTTTGTGTTGGTGACGGACAGGAACAGGACCCATCATCAACGCCCCTTCTTGTGCCTTCTTTGGTTCAGAAGGCACGTGTGTGCATCGCTCCACAGAGACCATTTTTGCGTCTTTCTTTAAATAAATAATATTCTTTGATATAAAAAAAAAACCTGGCAGTGTGCAGGACACCCAGGTCTAAAAGGAGTTCTGTTCTCCCTCTTTCTCAGACATTTTTCAGCTCCCAGTGTCCTGAACTGTAGTCCCTCGGGTGAAACCTCGAGACCAGTGGTGGATTGTAAACTCAGATACCATTGGTCAGGTCTGTGATGACATTAGCTTTAACCAGCTTACGAAGGAACTCCTTCTCCTTGGATATGTCGTGTGTCCATGACTGTGAAGATCAGAAGAACAGGAAATGGTCAAAACTAAAAAAAACAACTGTGCAAACCAAATATGAAGACACTGTAACACACTGAACACAAGCCTACACTGTATTGGGTAAAGATTTTCACTTTCCCAGCGTCTACATGTGTGGGTGTACACAGTACATGTATGCACTAATATGTGGAAAGCCATGCTAGGTCAGTTTCCCTCCCTGCTGTGCTATAAGGACGAGGACCAGTGGGTTGAAACTCGAGATGTCGGTTCCTGTGTTTCAGAGCTTTGGGACTGAGAAACAAAAGGCAACAGAGAGCAAATCAAGGAGGCAAAAGGGTGGAGGAAGACACAGGCAGGAGGGAACAGAAGGCAGAGCAGCGAGGACAGTGTGGGCCCGGGGGCTCTTATACACCACACTTTTGTTTCACACCAAAATAACCACAAAAGAAACTCCTATGAATATGATGGAGTGAAGGAAGACAGGACGTGTCGAAGGTTAAAACTGTCACTGTCTCAAGGGGCAAAAAGTAGACTGGGGTGGATTTAAGGAAAGTGGAAATAAAGGTGATCTGCTCTGCTGCAGGGTGGTCCCATCAGAGTGACAGAGATTTAACAGACGCTCTAGTTCTATCACTTATTAGCCACGTGTGGCAGACGATGACAATGCTAATGATGACGTTGATAATTAACGCCGAGGTTAGTTAGACGTTTAGACGAGGGTAATCATCAGACCCAGCTAACAGTTTACACGCGTCACCACCAGGGTGACATTCTCAGGCTGCTCGAGGCTTCACTGTAAACACAGAGAGGAAACATGACCGATGGAGGCAGGGCAACGGCTCCGTCGTCAGGGCGCTTAGAAAATGATTGTTCAGTGAGCGTGTTGCTGAAGTGGCCGGTGAAAGATCCAATCAATCCAGGGTCAGTTTGAAGTCTAGAGTTTATTAACAACGTCATATGTTTGAAAGTGAGGATTAGGGAAAAAAACTTTTAACATTTATAGATGGTGTTTTGTTCTGATTGGAAGCGTATCAGCCCAGAGGCAGGTTACCTTTGAGAATTGGATGAAATGTGGGTTTTTGAAATATTTTTGAGGGATCCCACAAAAACCTCGTAATGATGACAAACAAACAAAAATGTTGTATTTTTGAGGGATCCCACAAAAACCTCAGAAGAGTTCAAAAAAATCTTGCGCATTTATTAGAGGAATACAAACATAGAGCAAATTTATTTTGGCCAAAATCCATTTCAACTCCCCTTCACCCCATGCAGCCCAGGTGGTCCCTCCTCATCAAAGTATTCTCTGTGTGTTTTTTTATGACTATTCTTCAGGGACCACAGCAGTGAGGGAGAAACCAGAATATGTTGTTCTCTTTTAGCATAAAGAAAACCTTTCACCAGACCTGGATGACAGAAGACTGCACCGTGGTTCTGTCCTCTCACCTCTTTGATGGTGGACATCTTGACAGTCTCGTAGTAATGCAGAGGTGCGTGGGGTGTGTTCATGTCGTAGCCGAAACCTGCCACCGCCACCTCGTCACAGTTATGCAGCGCCATCGTTATGGCCACTGTTCCTAATGTTGGAATGTTCTGGAATGTAAGCGGGGACACAGGGAGGCGGAGTCATATCATCAGAGTAGAAACACACACACACACACGTTTTAAAAGAACAAATGTAGAATATAGATCTGGTGTCGGTCTCTGTTCTGCTCCACCACAGCTAACTGACTCTGAGCACTTGGTGATTTACTATCAGGTTTTAGACCCGACCTCGGCTACAACACTGATCTTCCAGGTTGAACTGGGCTCCCTGACTGCCCAAGGCTGCAAAGATCTCGGAGTGCGAGGTTGTGTTCATGAAGTTGTATGTCAGAGAACAAGGAAAAGAAAAGAAAAAAAAACGGGTCCAGAAGAGAGGGTGGAAGGAGGCCCCATTTAAACCATTACCCTGATTTGCAGCCCTGAGGGGAGGTGGAGCTGGACTAGAACCAGCAGCTGGCCAACCCCCTACTGTGGGTTCTAATACAGATTAATTTACACAGAAACAGAGACTCACACATGCACATACACACACACACACACAAGATAAACACTTGTATAACAAATAGACCTCTCCATTAGCCTGTATGTGCATAAACAGTCCCTTCAGATCATGTGACAGACGGCCCAGTGTTCTGGAGAAAGAATCTGCCAAATCATACAACCGTGCTGCTAGTATTGTATGAGACAGCACTGCAAACAACGAGACACAACGCAAATGACCACACTCATTCAACAACTCACTCAAACACACACACACACACACACACACACAGGCCAGATGCCCACATGTTGGACATATGTTCCAGGGGGAGTTCAGCGGGGCTGTTCTCGTGGCCCTGAAGGCCAGAGCTACAGTGATCCACTCCTCATTTTTCTAACAATACTCCCCCTGTTTACCCACTGACACATCGCACTAACAGTCAATTGTATTTGCAACCATATTTACAAACACATTTGCGGATTTGAGGTCCACGCTCTATTTTGGCATTTTCCATCTTTAAATATTTATCCAACGTCAATGTGACAATTTCAGAGCCAGACAGAATTCATTACTAAAGTGCACAACTTGATACAGTGAACCCGGATATAGCTTGAACATTTTGGTCACAACACGTGAAAATGTGTCATTTTTCAGTTATTTCCACCTCCTTGTATTGCAAACATGAAGTGAGAAAATCCCCCAAAAACATGATTTTCCAAACATGAAAATGTGAAAATTCATAACCATCCAGGACCTGAAAGTCCTCCAACAAACCTTGTTTACAGTCTGGACGTACAGTGCATCCAGAGTGGATGTACTCATAGTGCTTCACATTTTCCATGTTTTGTTATCTAACTGCCCTGATTTGAAATTGATTGATTTTCCACAAAAAAATTCCACAAAATTTCCACTCTGTTCCCATTCAAAGTTTTTTTCCACAGAATTTCCACCCTGTTCCCATTCAAAGTTTAACAAAAAGTGAGTTTGACGTTATTGCAAACATATTAAAAATAAAAAACAAAAATGAAAGAAAATGCAAAAAATAAAATGCATGAGTCTTTCAATCCTTAACTTCAGCTGCATCCTGTTTCCAGTTTACAGCCATTTAATCAAAGTAGTTAAAATATATTTAGAGTTTTTACTCCATCATTTGAAAAGTAGCTCCAAGCGAAGCCAAGTGTAAATACCCCTGTCCTGGGGCATGGAGGTGGTCACTGATGGTGCCCCATGAAAAGGTTGGTCCCAGAAACCTGTGGGAGGTAAAACTCACCCAGGTCCTGTCCTGAGTTCATGTTGGCGCCATTCATGTAACAACCTGTGCTTACAATAATGTATTAATGACGTTCATTCCCTATAATTACATTCAGATGACACAGACTGCCAAAGCCTGGCAGACTGCGAGGCCGCTGCAGGTAACTCTCACACACCTCTGTCATAACACATGGTTGATAATTGCTGCCAAAGATGCTTCACCAAAGTACTCAGCAAATGAAGTGTGAACTAATGCACATGTTGTGTTTTGCATTTATTTTTAGATTAATTCGTAGATACATATATTTTCTCACCCCTTTGCCCATGATGCCATTGTTGAAGGGCAGCCCAATGAACTGGAAGGCAGCCTCCTGGAAGAAGTAAGGGTTCAGGATTCTCATCTCCGTCGGCTGCCGTGGAACAGACTGAGGCACAGACTTCCAGAAACCTTTGTCACTCTGAGGAAACAGGGAAAAAAGAAGAACATTTGAACAGTTAAGATATGATCCTTAAACACATCCACACAGAGCCTGGAGTCAATGTCGTTCTTTATTATAAGTCTGTCTCTATTTAATACTAATATATGAGTCAATTAAAGGTTTATACTTAAACAAAGGGACGTGAGTTCTGGACCAACTTTGACCTCAAAATTCAAACCACATTTTCAAGCCAATATTCCAAGTTAACTTTGACATCCGACAGGATATTAATCAAATCGCACCTTGACCTGAGGGCAGCCTGTGTGACAATCATCAATAATAGTGACGGCCATCACTCAGACGGACCTGTAGCTACACCTGAGCAGGATTACAAAACTATAATTGAAGGCACATCTTCAGAAACGTCAAACGGCAGCAGCCACTGAATCACGAGCAGAATCAGAGGATTCCTGAATCCTGTCTCCGGTGGAAAATATCTGGAACAAATCTCTTCCTAATCAGTTACTGTTGCAGCTTACTGCATGAAAACCTGGTGAGCTAAGCCGTGCGTGATCGACTCGACTGACACTGTGATTTCCTAAGTGGCATGAAACCAACAGACTCAGCAGATGTAAATGGGAATCACCTGTTCAAATAGCACAGCACCCGCCCGGCGGCCTTTGATTCAGCGACGCGTTGCTGTGTGTCTGTGCGTGCTTGTGTGCGTGTGTGCGTGGTGCTGAGTGTTTATGTGTGTTGGCCGAGGCAGTAGCAACAAGTCTGCTTGCTTTGTGGCTTTGACAGTGGCGGCTCTTTTTGAAAGTTGGCCCACTTGTGTGCCTTGGGCAGGCTGCGACAGGAGCGGCGGCTCATCTCTCCTGTCAACACAGCCTGTGTTTGCCAAGAATCTATTTAGCAGCAGTGTTTAGTGCGAGAGCATGCTGAATAAAGACAGTGATGCATTTTTGTCTTTTATTCTAGGAAGCGGTGAAACTAATGACACACACACACATAACACACCCCTTGGCTTTACACATCTGTGACCTGACATGTACACAGACACGGATTTCACGGGCGTGGATCCCTTTGAAGATATTCAGACCAGGACAGGTGGCTTTGACATACGGTATGAGCAATTAGTATGTGAGGATTGTGGTGGGTGAGGAGGGAGGAGGG